AGTAGAACCTGGAAAGTAAAAAAAATCTCAAATAAGCTGAATGAAAAACAGTATGCATCCATTCTTTCTATTGTACATCTAGAGAGCTATCATTAGCAAATGTTAAAGATTCTAAAATAGCAAAAAGTAAGTCCAAGAACATTTTGGGGAAAAAAAGAACCCAAGACTTAAAAACGTATCCATGTATGTTTAAGGAGCAAAATAATTAGTTTCAGTCTTTGCCTAGGTTTACAGGCAAAAAGTACCAGAACTGAAAAAACACAAGAAATCATCTTTTCTATTTGCATAGGGCAGCATTTTGCGTAGCTAGTTTATTTTGTGTACCACTTTCAGACAAGATTGAAGATAATTTTCCTAAATAAGAATTGAAAACACAAAACAAATCAGATGAACAGTGATCTTATATAACATCCTCTAGTATTTATGGCTCTTCTGATCTATACAACCTTAATTAAGGTGCAAATACGCCATGCAATTTTAGATGTTAACATCTTTTGACTAGAAAAATATTTTAGTTGTCCTTCATACCCAGTATGGCCCAAGAGAGATATTTCCCTCAAAGAAAGCATCTGCCTAACTACTCAGATCTATTTTAAAGAGAAAATCCAGCAAGTTCTGACAAGTCAAGAATTGTCAAGAAAAAAAAAACAGAAGCCCCTGCTGAGAAGTACTTTCCATCTCCTTCTAAGAAGGAGACAGCAGTTAAGAAAAAAGGCATAGTTTACTTACATCAATGGAAATGCAAAAAATGGAAGTGTCATAATCAGCCTTGCTGTCCATTCATCAGGAAGACACCACAAATATACAATTAAACAGGTAATAAGATAAAGAACTGAAGAGTAGAGAAGTAGTCTTCCAACCCATAGCTTCTGCAGCCTCTGATTTTTTTCTCTGAATTCTTCTAATGCTTGGATTTCCTGTAAATAAACATAAGTTTATAAATATAGATAAGGTTTACAAAGTAAATTGGTATTTTCATTTTCTTTGTCATCTTACTAGGTTTGCTACCTTTATAACATTTGCTAAATTTAAATGGTTCAGTTTACTTTTATAAAGCTTTTACACAAACAGGCTTCTTATACTTGACAATGTATAATTTTCATAACATGAACTATATCTTAATACAAAGGTTGTGATATGAATCACCTGCACTCCACTAATGATTCCTGGGCACTACAGCAACTGGAACAATAATATTAATATTGGAAATGAATATAGTTAGCTATCTTAGTATGATTTAGTAATTTGGAAACAAGAGTGAGAATTAGCACCATATGACTGGCAACCTTTCTATAGTCACTAAAAGGGCTCCTCAAAACAGCTGGAGTACCGATGCTTTAAGTGGCATTTGTTAAACTTCAGATGTGCCCTAATTTAATAGTATCATCTTCTCATGCGAGTAAGCTAAAATATTTCAACCACCTTTTCAAGTAAGTTTTTATAGGATAGAGCACTGAAATTAAGAATCATGAATATTTGAATACTGTTTTTGACAGATTAATTAATAATCTAGAAGTATTCTGCTGTGCTATTATTTCGACTTTACTTTGAATGACGACAGGATCATCCACATTTTCATTAGCTACACAATGAAAACTACCACCAGCATATTTCAAAATACACAATTTTCCTATGGACCACTGGCACCTGTATCAAATACCAAGTAGAATCATACTAAATCACTTAATTATTTATTCTGTCCTTGCCCAACACCTCCCTTGGAAAACTCTGTAACACTTAACTTGAACTGGAAGTTCTGCTAATGAACCTAGTAAACAGAACTTTGCTTTAGTGAAATGTTTCTGGGGAACACAAAATGAGAGCTTAAGCATTAGCCATAATAGGATTCTACAACTAGGCCACCCTTAGCATTCCTTCACATTAGCTTGAGTACATATGCAGACAAACAATAAAGTTTGTCATTGTTTGAGTAAATACTGCTTGTGCTTAAAAAGAAATGCTGACGGTTCTACTCCCTTTTTTTCTTTCACCTAAAATTCCCAGCCTCCAGTACATGAATGCTGTAAAATAAGCATTCATATAACACTTATTTCCATATTTCAAAATTGCCACACTTTTAAAGAAATGACCAGATACCAGATCCATCTCTAAATTAAACAAAAACAAACGGGCATAATGAAGAGCCAAATACATACCTTATCAATTTTCTCCAATACTTCTACAGTAGAAGGTTTTGCCTGCTTACAGAGAACAGAAAAAAGGTTTTAAACTAATATTTAAAAGCTGCAGATACCCAAGTGTCCAGCATGGCAATAGCAATAGTCAACCAGCATAACAGATTAAAGTATTTTCATTCCAAGATAAAAATAAATTGTATTCTCTCTCAAGTTTCATTTTTATTAACTAATCATCAGGGTTTTCCATTTCCCATGGAAAAACAGAGCAAACCATGGATTTTCCCCTTTACTAGCATAAAATGAGGGTTATGCCCCTCACTGCTGTCCCCACGCACTGGGGAAGTGTCACCAGGGCAGTGTGGAGCTCACAGGGGCAAGCAGCTGCCCTGCGCAGCCCCGCTGTGCCCTGCAGCACCCAGCTGCGCCCTGCAGCACCCAGCTGCACACACTGGGCTGCGGAGGCCCCAGGGGAAGGCAGCAGGGCAGGGAACACGAGCCTGCAGCATGCATCCACCCCACACAGATCTGTGGGACGTGGGTACCCCTGCCCCTCAGGAGTGTGCACTGTGGCAGGGAGCCAGCCCCACCCCTGCCCCAGCTCACAGCAGGCAGGCAGCAAGGGCGGGGGGACCCAGCTTCATGCTCTTTTTCCTGCAGCAGCTGCTTTCTGTCAGGGGCAGGTAGCTGCAGACCTGGGTTCCCAGCCCCGTTGCTAGAGGCAGCTCTGGCAGAGCTGGGGGGGTGGGGGAGGCAGGGGCTGTTGATGATGGCCAAGGGGCACAAGCAGGGCTGTGGGGTGAGTGAGGGGCACCAGTAGGGCTGGAGGGCTGTTGTGGGGGGGAGTGAGAGGCACCAGCAGGGCCAGGGGTGGTTGTGGTGGGCCTTTAATTCTAATTATAGATTTGGGGGGGTTTAAAAACCAGGATCCCTGCTAATCATCCTCTTTCCAAAGACATTTCCAGCTGGTATTACTTTCTTGTCACAGCTCCTTCCATTGATACCAGTTGGCAGGTTGTGTGTCTGTCTTGGGGACTACTTAGGTACAACTGCAGCAGAGCTGTTCTTTACTGAGTTTGGCTCTCCCCTCTTTTGCAGTAACTAATCCAGTGTACAGACATATAAGACTGAGGGGGAGCCTGTGAAAGAACAACTATCATGGACAGTAGCAGATGTGGGGTAGAAAATAAATGAGAGAGTTCATGGAGATTAAAGAAAAAGTGAGTAAAGAGGTGAATGAAGTGAGGGAGATGATGTGAATAGAGGCCAACCTCCCAGGTTTTAAAAACTCATGCTATCATTTATTTTAGACTTATGTAAAAGGGAACACATTTAAATATGCAAAGGAACTAAGGGCATAGATCAGGAGTTGTGCAGGTTCTTGGGAAGGCCCTAGCGGGTATGTGCAGACGGGTGGGCAGGGACAGAATGCCGCCACCCATCACCTCATGCCCCTGCCTCCCAGGAGCAGGGCTGGGGCAAGGGCAGTGCTGCTCCTCTGCAGGCCACACAGGTGCCACCTGGCCAGTTGGATGCGAGGGGAAAGCTTGAACACTGCTGCAGCAGCTGCTGCATCCACCACTCAGTGCCGTCGCTCTGCGTTCAGCCGCGTGCCACCCCCGCTCCACATCCAGCCGCCAGGAGTACACTTATTAAAAAAAGACTGAAAACCCATGGCCTAGATTACGACATTTTCTTCTGCAAATGGTAAGAATGATCACTGACCTCACTGCTCATTTATTTTGTCTACCTGTCTCAATGATAGAAATCAAGCTCATGCTCCTAACATAGGAAGCAAGAATTACTTCTGTGTTACAAGTGATTAGCCGATACTCAGATACCAATACATACGAGAGAAAGGCTGATATTCTCCTTCACTTACTCATTTGTTTTAAGCTAAAAGGAACAGCAGCCAACCTTATAAAACATACATATTGCTGTCTCTATCCTAATTAAGCGCTAAGGCAGTACTGAGATCACAACCCGCTATGAGCATTTAAGAGATGCCATATAGGTCAGACTACAGTACGTCAATCTAACCTAACAGCTTTATCTCTAGGGACCTACCCATTTCTCGGTCAGAACATGGGCCCAAGCAGCCATTTCACAGGTGGAACACACAGGCCCCCATGCCTGATTGACTGAAGAGCCCTGGTGGCCCTGTTCCTCGCCACCAATTGGCTACAAAGGCTGTCCATCACATGCCCCACCCTCGCCAACTAGTGGAGAGGGACAGAGCCATATGACAAGCAGCACTTCCGGCCAACTGGGGGGGGGGCTACCATCTTGCCAGCAGCCCTTCAAGCGGGCAGCACCCCCCTCTCCACTTTCCCACCCCAGCAGGCTGTTGCCAAGAACTTCCTTTGGTGAGCCAACGTTTTATTTTCGGCAAGTTTTTTCCCCCTGCAGATTTCACAGATTCTGCAGGCAATGCTGGATTTCGCGGCATCCATAAAATCCGTTAAATCAAATTCGATAGGTTCCTTCTCATCTCACAGTGGCACAGTGCGAATGCCAAGCAGAAAAGTATTCATGCAGGCCAACACAGACTGACCTGTCCCCTGCCCCTCTTCTCTTACAGCTACCAATATTTAGAGGCCTAGGAAGTCCAAACTTGGCGGTTTCAGCCCTACTGAACTGCTTAATACCCACCAGTGGCAACATGTAGGGGTTGCACATGCACCCCCTGATCAGCCATCCTTGCCACTTAGGCAATGGGAAGGCAGGGCAGCAGGAGCACCAGTGGCCCCCCTGCAAGTGCTGGCTGATACTTGCAGCTACTCCTGGAAGCAGCCGCAGCGATTGGCCATTGCAGAATCAACCCCGGGGGTCCCCCTGGGCAGCAAGATTGGCGGTCGGCGGGACTGGACACGGGGGATGGGGGGGGACATCCCCCCGACTAAGGTAGCACCAGTCGCCCTTGATACCCACACAAACTCTCCAAACTTCCAATACTTACCAATCCAAAGTAAAATCCAAAGGAAGGAAATAGGATGCAATAAAAACATAAGACAATCCTCCGCCACCACTTACCCTAAAAGAACTGGAATAATCATCAGATTCTGAATCCAGTTACACTATTTTCCATTTGGGTAGTATGAACACTTTGTTTGGCTACCCGCTTCTAACCAAACAGGCCACTAGAAAAGTTTAGATTCAAGCAATTTAGAGTCTTTCAGCATTATGACTAAATTCAGGATTCTAGTTGGAGGCACATCAAGTTATTTAAATAAAACTATTGCAGCGTCAGTCTTACAACTAACTTTTTATATCATAACAGCATTTACTTACCCTCCACTTTGAAATGACTCCACCCATCTTTTTTGCTCGAGAAGATATGTTTGTTTTGGTAGCTTTAACAATCTTCTAGCGGAATTCACAACTAGAAGCAAAAGTAGTGGCAATCAATTACAAATACTTCAAACAATGTATTTCAAGATTTTAAAGATATTTCATAAATGTTTTCCAATATCTAAATCAGGGCTCTGCAATTTTTAACAGGCCAGGGAAACAAGCCCCACAGGTCACATGCCATGGGGATGCACCCATCCACCCCAGCTACCGCACTGTGTACCCATCCAAGCACCATCTCCTACAACTACACTATGTGGTAGGGTCACCCTTAGCTCCCCAACCCATGCCACGCTGCACTGCCTTGTCCCTGGGACAGGGACAGGAAGCAGAAGTTGGAAGAGTGTGAGGGAGCCTGTTGCAGCCAAAGCCACAGGGAGGAAGGGAGGGAGGGAGGGAGAAGACGAGCAAAAGCCTGGTGGGAACTCAAGGGTCACAATCTAACCTTTTGCATGCCACATGGTCACCCTAGTCATATATGTCCTGGATTGTCTGGGACAGTCCTGTATTTCATAGGCCATTCCGGCCAGTAGGTGTAAATAGAATCAAAAGTCTCAGATTCGGCTGCTGCAGGCAAAGGCAAAGCGGGCAGCCACCTGTCAGTGCCCAACCCAAAGATCATAAGTCAGGCTGCCCTGATCTAGATTATGAAGTGATACAGCATACACTCATTTGCCCGTAACATTCTAAACGCCAGTCACTATTTTCACAAATCACCCTTCAACTATTAAAGCATTCTATTAACTAGCTGACCACAATTCTAGGGAAGTTTATATTTTGCACTGGAGATCTTTATCTGTCAGGAAACATTTTAAAAAGTGAGTACAAGATGATGGGTGATTAGAAATCAATTTCTAGTCTTCATATAACTACCACAAAAATATTATTTAGTAAATGGGAAAAAAAAATCTTAAGAACCTGGCTTCTAAGTAGTTATAGATTAATTTCAAGTGCAGATTGTTTGGAATTAATTCAGAGCATTAAGATTTCACACAAATTAAGTGTTCTTGAGAACTATCAGACTGGCATCTCTAAAGCCTGCACTTTATGCAGCGAAGATATAAAAGGCAACAGTAATTCAAACAGTCATGTATACTTCTAAGTTTGCAAGAACAAGTCCGTTCTCAAGCCCACCTGGGAATTGGGCTGAAAACATCAAATTACTTCCCAGACCTGCGAGTAATCAGATGGGCAAGAACTTTCAGTCACTTGCTGGTGGGGTGGATTCACACTAAACATGTAAATGGAAAAACTGGAAGCTCAAATCTTCAATGTCCTCTTCTTTTTAAAACTGGAAATATGGTAACCCTACAAGAATGCAGCCCAACAGCATGTAGAGCAGCACCCAGCAGGTAAGTCTGTGGAGGGGAAAGGGTAGAGGGAGGCAGATCAAGGCCTCCATAGTGAGGAAGGAAGTGGGGCAGGGGAAGGGACTGGAGCGAGTAGGACTCCAGGGCTAGGGTCAGGGCAGGTCGTGGGACTGAGCGGCAGGCAGTTCGTCCAGGGGCACAGGGTTGGGGGGTGCGGCACAGTTCTGCAGCTGCATATACCCCTAAGGGAAGCATGGGGGACATGCTCCCCAGATTTGTGAATGGGGCGGAGGCACGCTGCACACTATGGGCTGGGGCTCTGTGCTCTGTTACCTTTGCCCCGGGAGCCACATGCTGGCCACACGTCCCCTGCCCGGCCAGTGGTGGGAGGCACAACATGGCATCGTGCAGCTCCCTGGGCAAAGGCAGCAGGGCGCAGAGCCCCAGCCTGGAGGCCACCTCCATCCCATGCACAAATCCAGGGGGGGAACATGCCCCCCATGCCTCCCCCAGGGGTTCATTCAGCAGCCAGTGGAATTTCATTTAACTCAGATTTCTTCTCCAAAAATGTTTAAGAGGATGCTAGAACAATGCAACATAAGACAGTAGGTATAGCATTCATCTTGTAAAATGGTGAACAGGCTACCATGCAAGAAGCCAAACATTCTAACAAAAACCAGAGCTACACGCACACAGTCAAGTCTTACAGGTTTTCTGAAGCAATCTGTAAAGATGCTATACAAATCAGTATTCGAACTGCAAGAACAGAGGGACAAATCAACTTTATTCCTGCTAAATTACTAACTAGCAAAGGAGCAAGTTGCAGAAAAGGAAAACTGCAATTGTCTGGGTCCCTTATATTTGAAGTGTCACAAATCAAAAGTACTATAATCCACTGGGATTTCAAACAGTTAACAGGATATTTTTTAAGCATTGAGACTCTGACATAACTTCCATTTGGCAGGTCTGTATGCAAAGCACTGCAGGTTTGGGACTTTCTGAGTAGAAGCTTTGTTATTGACAGCTTCTAGGAAAAGATGCCATCTTCACTGCAAAACGATAAAAGAGATAAGCTACAACACAAGCGTCTAATGATTCTCTAGTACATTTGGATCTCTCAAGAGTTGCAGTCAAATATAATCATGTTTTTAAGAGGTGATGTCAGTATTAATCCTCTATTTTCAGAGAGTTGTGAAACAAGTTGTGAGAAGGAAGTCAGATAAAGTGCTGATGCAGCTACATTTTCATACAGGCCAGCATGATGATGTTGTACATGTACTGCTGTAGAAGGCAGAAACAGTTGATACCATTCCTTAAAGTTATATCCAATAACCAAAAGTAAATTCATTGATTTACATACAGTGCATAATCACAGTGCTACTTCAGGCTTTCCCTATTAAACTTCTCCCACTAATCACTTTCTTCTTCTGCCTCAACCAATAACAAATAATTCTACAGCTGTACTCCTCCTTGCTAAGGCTTCATTTGGTCAGTTCATACAGAATTCCTCTTTTTACTCAGTCATGGGACTGTTGCAGTAGTGTCTACATGTATACATGTTTTCCCTTGTCAGATAATATGTGGCAACATTACTAATGCCTTTCTATACCATTTAAGACAAAAAAATATGGAAGTGTTACCGTTAATGCCCACTTTCTGCCTCGCTAGAGAAACCCAAATTTGATGACAGTGCTCAGTATAAAAGAATACTGCCAATCTTTTGTATACAAAATGTATTTAGCACAAGCCAGCATGAAATTTAATCAGCAGAATTAGAGGAATGACAGTCACAAAGGAGGGCTTTAGGCTATCTTTGGCAAGTGGACTACAGGGCTTTAAGCCAGCTATAAACATATCAAATCAACATATCAATTCAAGTGTAGGGGAAACAGCAAGCAGCAGAGGTAGACTTGCTTACTTCGCTCCATGTTCGGACAACGGAGCTGCATGAGTTACACAGACTTTTCTTCCGGACAGACCAAGCTCTGTGCATTTTGTCTCACTTTAGCTAGAGCTCAGGTAGATCCCAAAGGAGATCAACAGTCCTCTAATAAACGAGTTCCCTGCTCTGTCTCAAGTTCATCTGCACTGCTCTAGCAAATAGATATTTTGTAAAAGGAAGGTCATTAAGAAAAAAGTTCAGACCCTTTTATTATAACAGGCACAATCTAGTCTCGAGCTTGAAAGTCACTCCAAGTCATCTACAGAGACCTTAATAACTAACGAGCATTTACAAACGCATTTTCAAACGAGATAGAGATCAGGCTGCCATTTCAACTCGGAAAATACCTCGCCCAACTGAACATTCTCCCTTCTTCCTCAAAACCGCCTCTGCCACCTGGGGCCTGCGCTGCCCAACCACCCTCCCGTCTCGCTCTCACTCCCACCCCCTCCCGGCCCGCGGCTTCTCCCAACCACCCGCTGCTAACCCGGTAGCTGAGCCCGCTTCGGGGCCCCCAGGGCGGGCTGCCCGCTTCAGCACCTCGGAGACGGAGCCCTGCAGGAGCAGCCCGGCCCGCACCGCCGGGCGCCTCCCCGCCTTCGACGCGCTTGTCCGGGCGGCAGCTGGGCAGCGACCGGCGGCACCGGGCC